ATGAAGCAGGATTTGAAACCATGGAAATAGACAGAACCACTGGTACAGAAAAGGGAGAGAGAAAAGGGAAAATGTCAGAAAAAACTCTTGGTGAATAGCTATAATTAGGAAATAGTAAGATGATGATGTTGCCATAAAAGGAAAAGGAGTAGTAATTAATTCTAGAGATATAAGAACCAAAGGACCACAATCACATGGCAGCCAAGAAGTTTCTTTTTTTATTTTTTAAGATTTTTTAAAAATAACATCTACCCCCAATATAGGGCTTGAACCCACAACCCCAAGATCAAGAGTTGCATGCTTTACTGGCTGAGCCAGCCAAGTGCCCCAAGAAGTAGTTTCCAAAGGAAAGGAGTGAACTGACATTGCTGACTGCTCAAGGGATGTCAATGATTCCAAAATACTCTTGAAAATCGTCAGGAATATTGGGAAAATAATGCTCATGTGCACTTATTTGAATCTCTTTTTTCTCTATTCTTTTACTGAGTTTGGAAGGGAAGGAAAATATAGGTTGTCATGCTGGAAGCAATGCTAAGGTGGTAGTGGGAAGGAGCCACTAGATAAGTAATTGAGAACATTGTAAACTAAGAGGAAGGAGCCTGGAGAGAGGGGAGAGTGAGAAACACTGATGGAAAGGGAAAATGCAAAGATGTACAGAGGCTGAAAGCCAGGTTCAGACGGAGAGATGAAAATGTGAATAATGGAAGTGGTCAGAGAACATGAGATGTTGAAGAAGATGGGAAATGAATTTCAAGGTATCTAGTGGATACCAGAAGATAAAGATCAAGAGAGGTGAGAATGTTAATCCCCAGCAAACTCAAAAAGCCACCAAGAAAGAGGAGAGTAGATGCAGATGAGCACTGAAATTCACTAAGGATGGTAGGACAGAAACCTGGAAACGAGGTCAATAGGCAGAGACAGACTCGGTGATAGGACACTGGCCAAATAGTTAAAAATGAATTGGTAGAGGGGCGCCTGGGTGGCTCATCAGTTAAGCGTCCGACTTCAGCTCAGGTCATGATTTCACGGTTATTGGATTCGAGCCCCGCATCGGGCTCTTGACAGCTAGCTCGGAGCCTGGAGCCTGCTTCGGATTCTGTGTCTCCCTCTCTCTGACCCTCCCCTGCTCACGTTCTCCCTCCCTCCCTCCCTCCCTCTCTCTCTCTCATTCTCTCTCTCTCTCAGAAATAAATAAAACATTAAAAAAAATGAATTGGTAGGAAGAATACAACTCAGGAAACCAGAAACACAACAAATCATGGGGTAAGCGGTGCAGGGTTGAGAATGAGGGAGATATTCATTTTATAAAGAGATGTAACTAACATAAAATCTGCTAAGGAGGTTCCCAGGCAGATGACAAGAAGAGACAAGATAGAACAGAATCCTATCCCAAGGATCCATCATAACAGAACATAATTGCAGTATAACTGAAGGCATATGTACATCCTTTTTTGTACCAGGCATAGGTCCATGACCCCTTTGAACTGTGGACAGTTCAAACAAAAATACTGCCTTCAGTGAGAACCTACAATCCCATATAGTTGCATAATAAAGCATACATATGCAGATGAGAATGTGAATTACTAATGATGGATACAAAACATGAAAAACGATGGAGAAAGGGGCATCAGAACAGCAAAAGCCAATGTTCTCTGGGGCAAGCACACCAGTTTCTTGATAACTTAACTCCTGACAGTTATAAGGTAAAAGCTACATATAGGGAGGAAAGAGGGACACAAAAGAAGGCAGCCGGCCGGCACTTTAGCAAAGAAGTCAAAGTACTTCTTACTTTGAGAAATAAAACCAAAACGAGATTACAGGAGGCTTTCTGAGACTTCTCACATACAGAAGCACAAATTACTTGTCCAGGACTCCAGAGATTCCTGGTAAGTCAGACTGTAGACAAATAGACACAGGTGCCCTCATGAGATGTTATCAGGTCAGGGAAAGGCCAGTGAAAATAACTGACTTGAAGAAGAAGAAAGGAGGCAGAACAGAGAGAGAAGGAAAGAGGGGGAGATGGGGGTTGGTGAGGAAGGGGCAGTGAGATAGGGAAGGAAGAAAGAAACCATGAAAAGATGAGGCTGCCCAAGGCATCAGACCCCAATCTCCCTATCTCTGCATATCCTCTTATTCAAGAGTGTGACCTTTCTTAAATGAAGGCACCAAGCAGCAGAAAATGAGGGTCTGTGACCCATAAATAAGTGTGAATAATATTTAAATAAGGGAACAAAGGCCATGTAACATTCAGTGGCCACGTCAATTACATTTATGTCAACTCTTTCTTCTTGATCTTGCAATAATTGCTTCATGTTTAACAGAAGGGAAGATTATCATTTATCTGCAGAAATGTGTGTGGAGGCTTTATTAAGCAATTAACCCAAGTAGGCAAATAAACACCCTCATGAAGCACCAAGAGATATATGTGGTAGGACATAGGCAGAAAAGAAAATTAGGAAGATAAAGGTTTGTACTGTGAAAACAAAAGAAGTAAAAGAATGCCTTATAGTGAAAATTCATAGTAAAAAGGACACATGGTGAGCATGATGATGCTCTACCCCTTATCACTGACAGGTGCTTTATAAGCATTTTCACAGGACTTGCTGTATACGGTGTTATTTTATATTCACTCAACCTTCTGTGATGCAGAGAACAGTTATCATTGTTTTTAGTTAACAAATGAAAACATGAGGCTTAGAAAGGTGAAATCACTTGCCTATGGGCAAACAACAGTGTCAGTAAAGAACAGACAACTGGAATTGAACCTAGATTTCTGACTCTTGGTGCTGTGGTCTGACTGGTTCTCCCAAATACTCAAACTTCTAGACTGAGCAGCATTCTTGCCCTTAAATAGAAAAGGGCATCATCTCAGGAAAGATGTCTAAATAACACCCCCAAACCCTGGGACTCCATGTTTTCAATATGCTCACTATCCCTTGAATGCCCTCTTGAAAAGGAAGTTCAACCAATCACACACTGTGTGTGTGCATGCGTGCATATAGACATGTGTTATGTGTGTGCACACCTGTATGCTGGGGGCAGGTAGGGAGCTGCAAAACCAACACTTAGGACATCAAGAGTAAATAATGAATATCAGGATAGAGCACTGAAGCCTGCCTCTCTGCATGGAAATAGTCACCTTGCATCAAGTTCCTCTTTGCATAAAACAGTGACATTTTCATGATGTTTAGGAGCCTGCTTGTGGCTTCCAAAAGCTCTGGTGCCATACCATGCTATCACGGTAACTGCCCTCCAGTGAGTCATCAAAAGCCTGGCTAGAACATTTTAAATACAGCAGTTTGCTTGCCACCAAAACACTAAGTTGCAATATTTTATATTTATCTCTATTTAAATTTTAGTGATGCTGCATAAATGTTAACATGGTCTTATGCTAATACAATCACAGAGAAGTCTTAATAACACCACATATTGGCATACCCCCAGAGTGAGTTATGGCCTGCTAAGCAGGCCTAATACATGCTTCTCAAGTCATTCAGTTAGTCCCCTTTAAATAAGATATGACATCAAGAATGTTACACAGTTTTGCTAAAGAAATGTATTTCCAGAAGCAATGGCAAGGGACATTTGCTCATACTGAAAGTGGAAAGAAGGTACCTGGGATTACAGCAAAGAATTCCAAAGAGTCTGGGGAGAGAGCCTAATAATATTTTATTCAGTTATTTCATGGCTTGAGAAACAAAAAGTGAGCCTCAATAAGTTCTCAAGCTTCTAAAGCCCTGAAGGTAAGACCCTGAACTTCTCTCTAGGGCTGAAATCACAGCAACCAAAGACAAACTCATAGATTCTCCACCCTTCCAGCAGATGCACATACAAACATTTCCTTGGGCTTCCTGAGAGCCTTTCTAGGTCTGGTAGATGAGACCAAGGGAGATGGAGTACCCTGGAAGCCACAGCCTTGACTGTCAACAAAACCACCACAGGATAACCAGGGCTTGGAGATCAAGGCACGTTTGTGATGAGGGACAGAGAGACCTGCAGGGTGCTTGGCCTCCCCTCATGCAACAATTCTTCTAGCCTTCCCAGCTTTGCCCCTCCATTTACTAAAAAAGATGCTGAAGACTTTCACCATGAGAAGGCATCAGAGATTCTGATTAAACAACAATAAACGTGGATGAAAGGCAAAGGAAATCTTTTCAAAACAAAGCATGCAATGGCAAAAGTGTTCACAATAGCCTTTCTCCTGCAACATCTTAATCCCAACACCCAAGCAGAACAACACCTAATAGCCACCGCCCAGGCCCTTGAAGCAAGAATCAAAATACTGGTTCCTATTTTAGAGGCACAGGAACATATAGTCCTAGGAACAGATTTTCAAAAATGAAAGCAACTACAGCTCCAAAGAACCAACTGCAGCTTGAAGACGTCTTGACCTTTTTAGTATAGTGATGTAGTACCCACAAAGCTTTCTGTATCCACTCTTTAGAGATGCTGTCTCCCCAATGCTCCTGCCTTGTCACTTTTCTAGCATAACCCAGAATAACTGAAATTTAAACAAATCCCAACCCAGAGAGTACAATAACCTGACTGCATGTTGACAGTTATCAGACAATCAGGACAAGACATATTCCCCCTAAAAGGCTCTCCTTGGTCAGGTACCTCATTTATTCTTCATCAGATATGGCTTTACTGCAAAAGGATCAACTCTTAGAGTTCATTCTTTCCCACTCAACTAGCTATGGTTGGTCTAACATTTTATGAGCTTTGACTACAACAGAGAATGTGACCTATCATACATTATGAGATGTCCTTAAGGTAAGAGAGAACAGAGAGTCATACATGGTAACATCTACTTGGAATAAGGGCAGAATCAAATTCTTACTCTAGTTTCATTAGGATTACACTGCAATGTGGATAGACATGTGCAAGAAAGAGTTCAAGTGTAACCTTCTTCCAGGCCAATCAGGCCAAATAAAAAACTAGACTTCACCTGAAGGGTCCCAACAATTCTGGCCAATGGGATGTCCATCCATGCCACTCACCTGGAAAAGGCAGCCCCCAGCACAAACGCAGCATACTCCTTCACCAGGGGCTCTGTGCTGTTCAGCCCATTGATAACCACTTGAAGGCCACCAAAGGAAAGCAGGTCCTGTGCATTATCCATCTGTAACAAAAGCATGGCTTAGTATAGTCCAGCCATCAAGAAAAGAGGGGCTCTTACTGCCTTTCTTTTGGTGACTATTCTAAAAGCCTAAAAAATCAAGTAAAAACCAATGGTGGCCTTTCTAATATTCTAAAGTCTTAAATTTGAGATCTCTGAATTCATCTAACATGATTTTTGGGCACCTGTGTGGGAAATGCCAGAAATGGCACCTAGCTACTGCTTATGCCAAACATGTCCTGGAAAAGTCTAAAACCGTAATGAACCACAAAGCTTACTCCAAATGTACAAGCTGTTAACACAAAGATCTGGCATCATAAGGACTACTAAATGGTGCCATGCTTCCTGTTTATATCCAGACCCAATGTGGGCAGCAGAGACAGCAGCACTTAAAAAAAAAAAAGAAAAGAAAAACTGTTTTTAATTTTGTTATTATTATTGTTTTTAAATGTTTATTTATTTTTGAGATAGAGAGAGCACAAGCAGGGGAAGAGCAGAGAGACAGAAGGAAAGAGGATGTGAAGCCCGCTTTGCGAGGACAGCACTGAACCTGATGCAGGGCTCGAACTCATGAACCATGAGATCATGACCTGACCCAAAGTTGGACGCTTAACTGAATGAGCCACCCAGGTGCTCCAAAGATTGTTTTGTAATTAGAAATCAGGGACTAGGTAACAGGAACCCAGTTGCAGAGGGAGAGGGGTCTAGCAGAGGGCTAGAGGAGGAGTACCAATAGTACCCCTCTCCTTCCTCTTCCTCATTTCATACAGTCTAAGGCTGACTCATTCTGAGGGCACTCATGATAAAATCTACATAGAAGTCTCTCTCTCAAAGGCTGAAGTGTAGGTCTGTGTTCCTGGCTAGTGGCTATGATTGCCCAGTGCATAACATTTCAAACAGCACTGGTCTAGGCTATCCTTTAAGGTCCAAAGCCCCAAGTCTAGACTCTTTCTCTTTTATTTTAAAGGGAGTATCATTCCCCAGGCTTCATTTGTATCCTGGAAAAATAACACTCAACTGGCTTAGAAAGGTCACTGGATCCTGTTTCGTTCATGCCATAACTATAGTTTCCATTGGAAGTATCTTTGTTCCTATAAAGGCTGCCTCTTGCCCACAGGTGGACCCTACTCTACAAGTCACCAGGACAATGCAGGAAGCTAGAGCCCAAAAATGTGACTGCTGTCTACCTTTTTCCTCCAGATGCCACAGAGCTACTTCCTATCTGACTATGCACTTCCAAACTAGACAAAGGCTCTAACAGAGAAACTGAGTTTGAAGGACTTTGCCTTTGCCTGTGTTTCTGGATGGAACTAACCTGTTTTACCACTTAGAAGATCATTTTTATATATTCTACTATCATCTCCACAAGAGCAGGGATTTTTTTTTCTGTCTGTCTACTCTTGTAGGTCCAGCGATTACAACAGTGCTGAGCATATACTTAGGGACTCAATAAATAACTGGGTTTTTAAAAATGTTTATTATTTATTTTCGAGAGTGAGAAAGAAAGAGAGGGACTGTGGAAGCAGGAGAGGTGGGGAGGGGGGGACAGAAGATCCAAAACAGGCTCTGTGCTGACATCAGGGAGCCCGATGTGGGGCTCGAACTCATGAACTATGAGATCATGACCCAAGGCAAAGTCGGATGCTTAACTGACTGAACTACCCAGGTGCCCCAATAAATAACTGTTAAACCAATGAATAAATCTGATCATAAAACTATGTTACTAAAATAAAGTCTACTGGGAGAAAAAAAAGGCAACCTGGGGTATCTGTGCCAACAAAAGGGATGGGTCCCTGGTACGAGAGACCTGAAGACATGGCCAATCCAGAGGCCTGAATAAGCATGGAGTCTGCTCTGCCATAAGGGCCCTATGCCAGGGCTGGGATTTTTCTGTACCAATCTGTCCTCATGGAGAGGAGTGATTACTGGGCCATAGGCCAGCCAACTAGGGAGACTGAGAGCTGAGTGTTTGGCTGACATAAGCACTAATAATACTTCATGAGCCTTCCTTTCTTACATACTCTAATTTTAAAATCTAAGAATGCACTGCCTCTCTTTGATCCTCCCTCCTACAAGTTTTCTCGATAACAAAGCCATGGCTCCGAGTCCTGTCATTCCATGCCTGGGGTGGCTACTTGTCAAAGCTGGTAGGAGTTCTTAATGGAGCAGCTGCCAGTCTAACAGCCACAAAGCAACACAGCCCAGAGGTTCTGATGAGACAATTCAGGGTGTTATAAATTCTAACATTTAGATAAGCACCTCGATCTCTTCGGTATCTTTTCTCACTTGTTATTTCACAGAAGATGAGGAAGAATCATTCTGCCCACTGCACACCCAGAAGATCTAGCTTCAGAATATGGGCCCTGCTCAGCATCACACAGGAGAAGGCATCATAAGGGTGCAGGTCTGCAGCTCCCCATCTAGGTCTGGAGCTACAACTTTCCCCAGGCTGCCTTCAGGATGGGAAGGAACAGGTAAACAGAAACTCAAGGTAGAGAGAAGGAATGCATGAGGAAGGGAACTATACCAACACTCTAGAGGAAAAGAGAGAACCAGACCACTGGCCAGACAATAAGAGGACAGGAAACAGAGAAAGGGAGAAACCATGGTAAATAACTGAGGAGTCATGCAAGGGGAGGCAAACATATTGCCCTAGGGCACATGGGGCAGAGAGAGGCTGCACCTCATAATTAACTCACTGTTTTCCAAATACATGGCTTAGCTTTTCACAAATCCTGTTTAATAATTCCAATATAGTCCTTGGGCGGATCCTGTTTGGGTCCTTGAAGCCCATGGTTCCTCAAAGCTTCTAGTTAGTGAGTCTAGAACCAGAATGGACTGGTGAAGTTTCTGGCAAGGGGAGTCCTATCTTCCTCAAAGAGAGCACTTCATTACCTGAATTCCCCCATTGCAATTAGAATTAAAGGTTAGGCTATGTCTTAATTCTCCTATGAAATCACAGCTCAACACTGTGGCACAATAACTTAAGATACCAACCCAAAGCCAAGGACCTTATATTTCTAATCTAAAGGACCTTATATTTCTAATCTAAAGTCATAAGCAGAACATTTATGACTCTTCTGCCAAGAGGGCAAGATTGGCCTCACCAAGGAAAGGGTTCCTGAGCCAACCTCAGACTGATTAGGTGATACTGAAGAAATTGTTTACCCCACTATGGGTTACTCCATAGTAACCCATGAAAGCAGAATAGGATGTCACCCCAGAGATGACACTGGCAGGCTTGCATGAAATTTTTTTTTGCCTGGGCCCTGCTAGCCTCCTGTGTACTCACTCTCCTGTGGGTATGATAAGCTCTCCAGTGATTTTGGCCTTTTATGCTCAACTAAAAGAAGGGCCTTTAGAAACCTGATACCTAAAGATCCACCCAAGTATGTTAAATGAGAAAAAAAATAAAAGCTGCCAAGATCAGAGCAGGACTGAGTTGGCCAATAACCCCTAGGCTTCTTAATCCTTTAAATATCTGTAACGGAAAAGCTGTTGGAATTCTTGTTTTTCACCCTGGAGAGAAAGACAGGAAAGAGGAAAGAGAACTCAGGCCCACTTTCTCTCTAAGAGGATCATAGACCTGCTATTTGAGGACTGAGAAAGAGTTTTGAGCAAAGAAAGAAGATGAAGAGGCCACATCATAATTCCTGCAGATAACAGTATACACTCATCCTCTCTCATCACAAAGGCTGGCAAAATCCAAAAGAAAGAAAGAAAGAAAGAAAGAAAGAAGGTCTTTTAGCCTAGTTTATAGAGTACAAGGACATAGTCATGCGTGGGAGGATACTGAAGATCTATATCTTGATGAGGATCTCAAACAAGCTTTTGATTATGATTACACAGTCTTCCTGGGCCACCATCGTCCCTAGTCTGAATTACCGCAATAGCCTCCTATTTGGTTTCCGTCCTTCTACCCACAACCCTTGTCTCCAGTCTAATTCTTAACAAAACAGGGAAAGGGATCCTTTAAACCTAAGTCAGAGCATGTTGTTTTTATGCTCAAAAACCTTTAATAATGTTCAGTTTCATATTCTTTTCCATGGTCTACAAGGCAATCCATGATCTTCCTCCCGTCATCTGTCTAAGCTTCATCTACTTCCCTCTGTTCTTTCAGCTCCAACTACATGGCCTTGCTCTGATCCCACAAACACACTACACATGCTCCCACCTTAAGGGTTCGGCACGTGCTATGTCTCCTGCCTGAGATGCTCCTTTCCAACACTGCCAGTCCTTACCAAATTCTACCTTTATTTTCCCAGAGTATTTTTCAACTTTAAACACACCATCCATACTTATTAGTTATTAGTTGTATTTATTATCTATCTGCCTCTGCTATATGGTAAGCTCCAATTTTGTTCCCAGGATGTATTTTAAGTGCCTGAAATAGGTCTTGGGACTTAACTGGCATGGAGTAAATTAATTTATTGCATAAATAAATAGGTTCTCTTGGCTCCTTCTCCTTAGATCTACCTAATCCCTTCTGAGCTTCATTAAAATGATACCAGTATCCTGGGAGAGGAAGAGAAACCAAAAGGTAAAGAGCACAGTTTCGGGTCAGACAGACCTTACTGCAGATCCCTGCTCTAGCACTCACTAACTAGGTGAATGTCAGCAATCTTAGATGTGACCTGTGTCTTATCTGCCTCAATTATAAATTGCAACTAATAACAGCACCCACTCAAAAGGCAGCTGTGGAAGTCAACGAATTAATGTGTACAAAGTACTTGAGTAAGTGCCTTGTCTATGGCAATGCTCAACAAATATTAACTATTATAATTATGGCACAAGTGTGATCAGTCCTTTTCCTGTTGCAAATTCTCCAATGAGTCTTAAAATCAAGGATAAAAACATAAAGAGCCTGATATTCCCAATTCCACCTCTCTGAATCTCTAACCTTTCCACTTTATCTATGCTACCATATCCAGTACTTCCCAGGTCCTCAGTCTCACCAAGCTGTCTCTTCTCTACCTCAGACTCTTTGCATACGTTGTTTCCTCTGCCTGTAGTACTCTGATCCAAGGGTTGGCAAACTTTCTCCAAAGGGCTGATAGTAATTATTTGTGGCTTTTGTGAGCCATAGGGTTTCTGTCAGAACTATTAAACTCTGCATCGTACCATAAAAATAGCCCCAAACAATAGAACATAAAGAAACAGGTGTGGCTGTGTCCAATAAAACTTTATCTACAAAAGCCTTCCTCAACACCCCTAACTAGGCTAAGTTTCCGGTTATATACTTCCACTTTATACTATGGAGCCCTTATCACAAGTTTAAATTCTAATTATCTCATTATTAAATTGTTCATTGTTCAATTGTTCATTATTTAATTGTTCCCTCTACCAAACTATAAGCTACATGAAACAGAAACCATGTCTATTTTGCCTCTGATGTATCATCAGTGTTGACAAAATCATGGAGGCTTGAGAGAAGGAAAGATCCTGATGCTAATTCCGTAGGATTTAGGGCAGGGAGGTTTGTTGGTGGAGATAATAGTTCAAAGTCAGATTTATGGACAAAGAAATAACAATACCTGATGGACATAATATTCAAGATCAAAGAGTGCAGCAATCTTCTCTTCTAGGCTGGAGCTGGAACTATTGAACTTGTTGATCAGCCGCACCATGATCTGCATGTCAGTCTCAATGACAACATTCAGCTCCTCAAAGTCCTTCTTCAGCTCCTCAATGGGGCGAAAGAGCCGTTTAACCTTGGCCTGCCTTGCCTAAGAAGATAATTGAAACAAATAGATACTTAGGAGACATTTCCCCAAGACTCTTGTGGTCTACCATGGATGCCCATTTTCACGAACTGCTACTCCAGAATTCAAAAACCTTCTTTCATCTGTGCTATCCAAAAATCCTGCTACAGGAATATCTCATTTTATTGCACTTCACTTTGGCACACTTAGAGATATTACATTTTTTACAAATTGGAAGTCTGTGGTAACCTGCATTTAGCAAGGCTATCAGCACCATTTTTCCAACATTTGCTCGTTTTGTGTCTGTCACATTTTGGTAATTTTTGGAATATATCAAACTTTTTCATTATTATTATATTTGTTATGGTGCTCTATGATAAGTGGTTTTTGAGATTACTATTGTAACTGTTTTGCGTAGCCACAAACCACACCCATATAAGACAGTGAACTTAACTCAAGTGTTGTATATGTTCTGACTGCTCCACGGACATGCAATTCTCCTATGTCCCAATCTCTCCTCAGGCCTCCATATTTCCTGAGACACAATGATACCAAAATTAGGCCAAATAATAACCCTACAATGGGTCCTTAAGTGTTCAAGTGAAAGCAAGAGTCTCACATCTCATTTTAAATTAAAAGCTAGAAATGATCAAGCTTAGTGAGGAAGGCATGTTAAGAGACAGCAAAAGACAAGCTTGTTGTGCCAAATAATTAGCCAAGGTGTGAATGCCAAGAGTTCCTTAAAAAACTTCAAAGTGCTACTCTAATGAACACAGGAAGGATAAGAAAGCAAAACAGTCTTTTGCTGATATGGAGAAAGTTCTAGTGGTCTAGACAGAAGATCAAACCAGTCACAACATTTCCTTAAGCCAAAGCCTAATCCATAGGAAGGCCCTAAACTTATTTTAATTCTATGAATGCTGAGAGAGGTGAGGAAGCTATAGAAGAAAAAGTGTGAAGCTAGCAGAGACTGGTTCACGAGGCTTAAGAAACCAAGCCACCTCCATACCATACGAGTGCAAGGTGAAGCAGCAAGTGCTGATATAGAAGCTGCAGCAAGTTTTCTGGAAGATCTAGCTAATTCATGAAGGTGGCTATATTCTAGCAACAGATTTTCAATGTAGATGAAATAGCCCTCTATTGGAAGAAGATGCCATCTAGGACTTATAGAGATAGAGAGGAGAAGTTAATCCCTGGCTTCAAAGCACAGGCTGATTTTCTTGTTAGGAGCTAATGTAGCTGATAACTTTAAGTTGAAACCAGTGTTTATTTACTATTGAAAAAAATCCAAGGTGCCTTAGAATTAAGCTAAATCTACCTGGCCTGTTTTCTATAAATAGAACAACAAAGCCTGAATGACAGCATGTCTGTTTACAACATGGTTTACTCAATTATGTTAATAAGACCACTGTTGAGACATTCGGCTCAGGGTAAAAAAAAAACAAAAACAAAAACAAAAAAACTCCTTTCCAAACATTACTGCTTATGGACAATGCACCTGGTCACCCAAGAGCTTTGATGGAGATGTACAATGAGACTGATGTTGTTTTCATGCCTGCTAACATAACATCTATTCTGCAGGCCATGGATCAAGGATTCACTTTGACTTTTAAGTTCCGATTAGAATATTAAAAAAATACAGGGGTGCCTGCGTGGCTCAGTCGATTAAGCGTCCAACTTCAGCTCAGGTCATGATCTCACCGTCTGTGGGTTCGAGCCCCGTGTCAGGCTTTGTGAAAACCTGTTAGAAAGGATTCACTACTCTAGATACCATTAAGAATATTGGTGATTCATGGGAAGAGGTCAAAATATCAACATTCACGGGAGTTTGGAAGAAGTAGATTCCAGCCTCATGGATGAATGTGAGGAGTTCAAGACTTCAGTGGAGGAAGTCACTGCAGATGTGGTGGAAAAATGTAGAGAATTAGAATTAGAAACGGAGCCTGAAGATGTGACTAAACTGTTCCAAGAGGATGATAAAACTTGAGCAAACGAGGAATCACTTCTCATGGATGGGCAAAGACAGTGGTTGCCTGACGTGAAATCCACTCCTGGTGAAGATGCTGTGAAGATAGTTGAAAAGTGACAACAAGGGGTGCGTGGGTGGCTCAGTCGGTTAAGCGTCCGACTTCGGCTCAGGTCATGATCTCTCAGTTCATGGGTTCGAGCCCTGCAACGGGCTTTGTGCTGACAGCTAGCTCAGAGCCTGGAGCCTGCTTCAGATTCTGTATCTCCCTTTCTCTCTGACCCTCCGCTGCTCACGCTCGCTCACTCTCTCTCTCTCTCAGAAATAAATAAAATATTTAAAACAAGTGACAACAAAGGATTTAGAATATTCCATAAACTTAGTTGATAAAACAGCAGGGTTTGAGAGAACAGGTTCCACTTTTTTGAGAGAAGTTCTACTGTGGGTAGGATGCTACCAAGCAGCATCACATGCTACAAAGAAACTTCATGCAATTGTTTGATGTGGCAAACTTCACTGTTGTCTTACTGTAAGAAATTGCCACAGCCACCCTAACATTCAGCAGCCACTACCCTCATCAGTCAAGCAGCCATGAGCACTGAGGCAGGACCGTCCCCAAGCAAAAGGATTACAACTCACTAAAGGCTCAGGTGGTTGGCATTTTTTGCAATAAAGTACTTTTTGAATTAAGGAGTAATTTTTTAAAGACATAATGCTATTCTACATTTAACAGAGTACAGTATAAAATAGACATAACTTTTATATGCACTAGGAAACCAAAAAATTAATCTGACTTGCTTTATTGCAGCGGCCTAGAACCAAACCCACAATATCTCCAAGGCATGCCTGCATCTTCTAAGATGCCCACAAAAGAGAGCCCTCAGAGTCTAACCATACATAAATTTGCCCTAAAAATACACTCACAATTTTCCAAGGCTCACTTACCCCAGTCTGACTTCCAATGTTCAAGAAGAAAGGAAAGTCTTTTCGTGGCAATCAATGAGGTCAGGCAAGCTCACCTTCAACCCCTAACTTCACATGAAAGGCTGAAGTCTAGGGTCGAATTATCTATACCTTGGTTCTCTATCTTCTATAATCACTGAATACCTTTGCTTTGCCCTGCCCAATCCAGCAACATTTTAGGGAAACCGGATGTAGGAAACTGTGAGTAAAGAGCTATCAGAGTGGGAGCAATCTACTGATGAAAATTAAATCACTGTCATTACTGTCAATCTAACTACAGGTGTACAATTTGTTCAACTATCTGAAGTGGCTAAATTACTGTATGTGCTATACTCAAGTCTCAATTTTTCTCTGAATCCCTCCCCACCACACATACAGAAAAAAAAGTTTTAAAAATGAAGTTATGTTGGAAGTGAATAAAAGACTTTAATTAGATACTTTATACATGTGACATGTGTGTTTACTTCCCAATTGTAGAGGATAGTGCTTATAAAGAGAGTCTGAAAGGTCATGGTGGTTTGAATCTCTATCTTCCAAGAAAAAGTAAAAGGCACGAATATTTATAAAAAACAATGAACAGCTGTCAGCTCCAAAGTGCTCATCTATTACCTATGGGTTTTCTCCCCAGTTACAAGCACTCCATAGAAACACCAACCAAAGAAATGAATCAGCCTCCCTTAAAAAAAGACCAAGCTCCTAGCAGTGCAATCACATCTATGGGATGTCATATCCTGTTTCTTTGGGCTAAAACAAGAGTGAAAATCTTCCCCTACAGCCAGCTAAAGGACTCTGGAGGGCTGCCAAAAGGAAGGGCCAAGAGGTCTGGGGAAGCTGAGTCACTGCCTAGAGCTGTGAGATGACAGGCAACTGAGCAGGGTAAGAAACAAGGCACCTCTACCTCACAAAAGTGATGTGCACCTGGCCCTCAAGAAGGCCTTTAAAGAAACCAAAAATAACTTTTTATTTTGCAATAATTATAAACTCACAGAAAGTTACAAAAAATAATGCAGGAGTACTATGTACCCTTTGTTCAGCTGCCCCCAATGGTAACACCTTACATAACAACAGTATGCTAACAAAACCAAGAAAATAACAAAGGTACAATACTGTTAACTCGACTCTAAGCCTTATTCAGATTTTATCAGCTTTTACATGTACACATTTGCATGTATGCGCATGTATATTATTCTATGCAGTTTTATCCAATATATACATTCATGTAGCCACCAGAAAAATCAGGCTACTGAACTATTCCACCACCACCAAATTTATAGCTGCACCTCATTCTCCCACCGATCCCTGTGCCCTGGCAACCACTAATTTGTTCTACATCTGCTTAATTCTAGCATTTGAAGAATGTTATAAAGATGGAATCACACAGTCTGTAATCCTTTGAGATTGGCTTTTTTTTTTTAACTTGAAATAATGCACTTGAGATCTATCCAAGTTATCACATGTATCAATGGTTCATTTACATTTATTTTGTTTAAGTTTATTTATTTTCTGAGAGAGAGAAAGAGAATATGAAAGTGAAAGCGAGAGAGAGAGAGAGAGAGAGAGAGAGAGAGAGAGCGCGTACCCATGTGGGGGAGGGGCAGAAAGAGAATCCCAAGTAGGCTCTACATTGTCAGAGCAGAGCCTGACATGGGGTTTGAACTCACAAATTTTGAGACCATGACCTGAGCTGAAATCAAGAGCTGGGTGGCTCAGTCGGTTAAGCGTCCAACTTTGACTCAGGTCATGATCTCACAGTTCATGGGTTTAAGCCCTGTATCAGAGCTCAGACAGCTCAGAGCCTGGAGCCTGTCTTTGGATTCTCTCCCTCTCTCTCTGACTCTCTGATCACGCGGTCTCTCTGTCTCTCTCAAAAATAAATAAAAAACCCTAAAAATAAAAAAAAAAAAAGTAATCAAGAGTGAGATGCTTAATAGACTTAGCCACCCAGGCGCCTCAATGGTTCATTTATTTTTAATGCTGAGTAGAATTCCACACTATAGGTATACAGTTTGCTTAACCATTCGCCTGTTGAACATTTGAGATGTTTCCAGGTATTGGCTATTATGAATAAAATCACATGAGCATCTGTATAACATAT